TAATCTTTTGCTTTTATTGCAAAACGTTCGCTTTGTTCGTATTTCAAAGCGTTTGCTTATAAACGTTTTTTGTCATCGTTACCGCGGTAAGTATCATAAGACAGTCTGCAGCGTCATAATAGATTCATAATTTACAATTCATAGCACATAATTCTGCATGAAATATATTCCAACCGATTAAATTATATTGATAGAATTATCTATCATTGTTACATTAATTCAATTATTTGTAACTTACATTTTTATTTTTTAATTGTACAATATTTGACGATTTAATCTGAAAAAAATGTTAAATTAGTTTTGAAATAAAAATAATTTTATTAAAAGAAATCTTTATTTAAAAAAAAATATATATTTTATTAATTATTCATGATCCGATATGTTTCAATAGCTAATGTTATTTTACATGAAATATATATAATTTACTATATGCATCAGCAAACAAAGCAAATAGAGTTGAGCGAATGGTTGCAGGTTTATTGATTATGATATATATATATATAGTTTACGTGTGCGTAAAGCCGACGTATTATTTCGCGGGAATTCAAACTATCGAGAGAATTCTGGTTTTATATCTTCGATACTTCTATAATGCTCGATGGATTAAACAAATAAGTCTGATATGATTAAATTAGAGAAATGCCTCAGAACTCGAGAAAATCGAGCCGCCATGTTTGCGCAGCATCTCCATTCGTCCTACGAGAGTTTTCTTATTAATTTTCCTCAGATTTCCGTTTAATCTGTCATCTCTCATGACGTTTTTCATAATAAACGAATAAATAACTCGCGATATACGCGATCTACGTATAAGTGGAAATTGTCGCGGGGTGTTTCATAAGAGAATAAAATCGCGCATTTAGCGGCGCTTCATGACTCGCGGTATCACCGTTCGCGAATTCAGCGGGAAGATAAGTCCGCATAATCGCTCGCTGCGAAATTTATGCGCCTGCCTGACGATAAATCCCACCAATCTAGCGGGATTACGCGCCCGTAAATTAGCGGCGGTTGACATGTCTCCGGTCCGACCGAACGGGAAAAGAAAACGGGATTAAAAATTTATTATTTCACTCGGATTAGCGCTGCGCGAGGTGCGATCGTGATCGTCGATTCTCCCACTGTGAACGCAGCACGCACGTGTGCGAAAACATTTGGCATGGTCAAAGAAAAACAGCTGGCTAGATTATCACCCCTGTTTTCGACATTTATTTGAACAAAGTCGGAAATTTGTTTTATAAAATGAAGGACAAAAGTAAATAAGTGTAATATTTCATTGAAAAGAATAAATTGTTTCTTTTATCATCCTTTGTTTATCTGATGACGTTCATTCAACATTTATTCGAGTTTTTCGTCGAGATAAAAACTTCATCGGGATAAGATGACGGAATTCTCAGCCGTTAACCGTTTTATCCTTACCGAGTAGTTTCGCAAATGGTTCTACTAGGTCGTGAAAAGCATACTAGCATAATCCAAGTGTGGATTAGTTTTCGATTAATGACCTGAGAATTGGAAGGCCGACTCGATTAATCACTGGTACTTGACCGAATGTCTAACTTTAGTATGCAATTAAACTTCGAGATAATTACGTACGTCGAAGTCCATCTAATAAATTCAAAAATTAATTTTCTAAATCATTGCATACCTATTCAAAATTAACTAAATTTTTGAAATATTTATTATCTATAAAATAACTATATCTTCTTATATTATTTGCAAAAATAGATGAAATAGTCGTAAAGTCAAAAATTAAGATTAGATATTTGACTAAAATAAATAAAAAAATTTTTCATCTTTTACTACTGTAATTTTAAGAGAAAAATTATATAAAAAATATTAAATATATATTTCAATATTGTATAAGAAAGACATTATTATGCATTATACGTTGGTAATTTGATCCTTGCCAACGTTTTAATTATAACTATAAATTATAAAATAATTGTCTACAATCACCAAAAATACATAAATAATTCCGTATCAGCGATTAATATAAAACAAATTTTCCACAAATGGCGATAAAATCGGACAAATCGAAATCCAAGTAACTATCGCCCTGAGTGCAGTATATCTCACTATGTGAACTCGATATGATGACCTCAGGTCACTTCTCTTTGCTCTGAAGAAATGGACCATGTACACGTTGCACGACGTTTTATAGAAAGTCGGGACAGCTATTACGGTTAGTTTAATATCGATAGCAATATGTTTCCAGGCGCGGCGGTGACGAGCGCCTGGAAACGTATTGCTATCGATATTATTTGCTATGTATCTCATTTTTGCACGAACATAAATACAGTACGTCGAATACGATACGCATGAATTGTATATACACACGACGACATACATCCGGTGTGTCGCTATGAATTTCTCATCGAGCCTCGGTGCGTACACTCTGTAGAAACTACTAGTACCACAGTAACAACGAAGCGAATCCGAGCACGGAATACCGAATTCCAAAGAGCGCCGCAGGTATTCGAGCGACGCGAATACCGCACACACGTGCATTCGTCCGAATACCGCGGGGACAATAGGAATCGCAAGGATGTAAACCCCGCTTGTCTTTTAAGAGCGGGACACGTGCGTCTCGACGAAATATTACGTCTTGAAGCGCTATGTCGCGGTGCTCCATTCGAAATCCGCAGTATCAACCGGTGAAGAAATAACAATGTTTTCCAGATATTTCTTCCATGCACTCCTAGAAGACTTTAAAAAGACAATATAATTTTTCAAGAATTCTCCATAAAGACTTTTAAGACCGCAATTGTATTTTGCTCTAGTAATCCGAGATAACGTTGTTAATTGTGTGCTTGTATATGAAGCAAGTAAAACGCAAAATTAGACGGCGTTTAACGTTAACTGTGAAATACAAATACCTTATCTAGCTTTGATTTTTGTTTCAACCTTTTCAGAATGAACATATAAAATTTTATTTACTTTACGTCGAGTTGAAATTTCATTTAATTCCTACACAATGTCATGCAATTATGTGCAAGAATATAGCAAACGTAATATGAAATTAAATATTTAATGATCAGTTGCCAGAACGAACTTTTTCTCGCTTCGTTCCGACCTAAATACAGGCGAATTAAATTCTATTAAAATAGAAACAAATTTAGGTGCTCGCGTGAAAGTATATCGTGAAAGTAAAATAACTCATATAAAAGTAGTTTAATAAATAATAACGAAAGAGAATGAAAGTTTTTTCGATCTTGCATCTCATTTAAATAAAATAGAATTAAAATAATTCTGCTTCTTTTCTTATAGAAAGTTTCTGTTATGCTTCACGGAAAACGTATTCGGGCATTAAGTAAAAATTAGATATACCGATGATAAAAACTGATTTCCTTGCAAATCATCTTAGACAATTCATTCTAATAACGATGCATCCGGGCGCATAAAAATTCAATTATTTTTTCCATATCTTCCCTGGTGCGCATTAAAGCTAAGAGCAAATTATATTTTATGTCCGTAGAATTGTCGGCGGATGCATAAGGAAGTCCTGTCATACAGGAGTGGCATACTAATGCCTTCTTCTTTGCTTCTCGATGTTAAGTTATCGGTTTATTTCTTCGCAATGTAATGCATGTAATCAAAGGTGTCGTGCTTTATATTATACAGTGATGCATGGGGCCATTTGTAAATGAAGCCACCCGGCAGCGGAGAAAATGCGCTTCGATGTATTTTTAATGAAGTCGGCCCACATTCGAGCAGCTGGATATACCGTCGACTGCGCAGTAAAATTAAAGTTCCCGAATGGCGGATTGTTTTAATTAGTATTGCATATACGCGGTGAAAATAACGGCGGTGCTATAACAATGAATATTAATGACATATTTAAAGGATGCCATAGGCGATTATGTTAACATGCATAAGATTTTAATAGAATAGAATGTAATAGTGAAAATGTAAACGAGCTAGCATGTGTTCAAGTAATATTGT